CCAAAGCTGCCGCACCAGGCACACCCCAGGGAGCCTGCGGGGCGGCCCCTTCCGCTGCCAGCCGAGGGAGGCCGCGTCCTAGCACCCGGGGTGCTCTCTAGGGAGCAGCCCCCCATAGCGCTGCTGGTCATGGCCGGTCCAGAGCAAAGCAAGAAAGCACACGTGTGTGTGTGTGTGTCAGTGCGTGTGTGTGAATGTGGGCGAGAGCGTGTGCATGTGTGTGGGAGAGCGACTGTGTGAGCACATGTGTGGGGGAGTGCATGTGTGAGTGCGTGTCTGTGAGAGCATGTGTGGGTGACAGTGTGTGTGGGAGAGTGCACATATGAGTGTGTGCGGGTGAGAACATGTGCATAGGTAAAAGCAGGCATGTGTGTGGATGAGAGTGCACATGTGTGTGTGTGTGTGCATGTGGGTGACAAGACATGCATGTGAGAGTGTGTGTATGTGTAAGCACATATGGGTGACCGGGTGTGAGAGCACGTGAGTGGAAGGGTGAGTGTAGAAGCATGTGCACGTGTAGGTGACAGTGCGCATGTGTGTGTGTGCACATGTGTGTGAGCACGTGAGAGGGTTTGCGTGTGTGTGAGTGCAGATGTGCGTGAGCATGTGTGAGAGCACATGTGTGTGTGTGTGTGTAAGAGCGTGTGCGCGTGTGGGTGAGCATGTGTGGAAGAGCATGTGTGGGTGAGCGTGCGTGGAAGAGCATGTGCGCGCGTGTGTGTGAGAGCGTGTGTGTGTGTGTGTGAGCATGCGTGGAACAGCATGTGTGTGTGCGTGTGTGTAAGAGCATGTGCGCGCGTGGGTGAGCGTGCGTGGAAGAGCATGTGTGCGCGTGTGTGTGAGAGCATGTGTGTGTGTGGGTGAGCATGCGTGGAAGAGCATGTGTGTGTGCGTGTGTGTAAGAGTGTGTGTGTGCGTGGGTGAGCGTGTGTGTAAGAGCATGTGCGCGCATGGGTGAGCGTGCGTGGAAGTTCAGTGTGCGTGTGTGTGTGTAAGAGCGTGTGAGTGCGTGGGTGAGCGTGTGTGTAAGAGCATGTGCGCGCGTGGGTGAGCGTGCGTGGAAGTGCAGTGTGCGTGTGTGTGTAAGAGCGTGTGCGTGCGTGGGTGAGCGTGCGTGGAAGAGCACTGTGCGTGTGTGTGTAAGAGCGTGTGCGCGTGTGGGTGAGCGTGCGCGGAGCAGTGAGCGGGCGTGGGTGGGAGAGCGTGTGCGAGCGTGGGTGAGCGTGCGTGGAGCAGTGAGCGGGCGTGGGTGGGAGAGCGTGTGCGCGCGTGCGAGGAGCAGTAGGTGGGAGAGCGTGTGCGCGCGTGCGAGGAGCAGTAGGTGGGAGAGCGTGTGCGCGCGTGCGAGGAGCAGTAGGTGGGAGAGCGTGTGCGCGCGTGCGAGGAGCAGTAGGTGGGAGAGCGTGTGCGCGCGTGCGAGGAGCAGTAGGTGGGAGAGCGTGTGCGCGCGTGCGAGGAGCAGTAGGTGGGAGAGCGTGTGCGCGCGTGCGAGGAGCAGTAGGTGGGAGAGCGTGTGCGCGCGTGCGAGGAGCAGTAGGTGGGAGAGCGTGTGCGCGCGTGCGAGGAGCAGTAGGTGGGAGAGCGTGTGCGCGCGTGCGAGGAGCAGTAGGTGGGAGAGCGTGTGCGCGCGTGCGAGGAGCAGTAGGTGGGAGAGCGTGTGCGCGCGTGCGAGGAGCAGTAGGTGGGAGAGCGTGTGCGCGCGTGCGAGGAGCAGTAGGTGGGAGAGCGTGTGCGCGCGTGCGAGGAGCAGTAGGTGGGAGAGCGTGTGCGCGCGTGCGAGGAGCAGTAGGTGGGAGAGCGTGTGCGCGCGTGCGAGGAGCAGTAGGTGGGAGAGCGTGTGCGCGCGTGCGAGGAGCAGTAGGTGGGAGAGCGTGTGCGCGCGTGCGAGGAGCAGTAGGTGGGAGAGCGTGTGCGCGCGTGCGAGGAGCAGTAGGTGGGAGAGCGTGTGCGCGCGTGCGAGGAGCAGTAGGTGGGAGAGCGTGTGCGCGCGTGCGAGGAGCAGTAGGTGGGAGAGCGTGTGCGCGCGTGCGAGGAGCAGTAGGTGGGAGAGCGTGTGCGCGCGTGCGAGGAGCAGTAGGTGGGAGAGCGTGTGCGCGCGTGCGAGGAGCAGTAGGTGGGAGAGCGTGTGCGCGCGTGCGAGGAGCAGTAGGTGGGAGAGCGTGTGCGCGCGTGCGAGGAGCAGTAGGTGGGAGAGCGTGTGCGCGCGTGCGAGGAGCAGTAGGTGGGAGAGCGTGTGCGCGCGTGCGAGGAGCAGTAGGTGGGAGAGCGTGTGCGCGCGTGCGAGGAGCAGTAGGTGGGAGAGCGTGTGCGCGCGTGCGAGGAGCAGTAGGTGGGAGAGCGTGTGCGCGCGTGCGAGGAGCAGTAGGTGGGAGAGCGTGTGCGCGCGTGCGAGGAGCAGTAGGTGGGAGAGCGTGTGCGCGCGTGCGAGGAGCAGTAGGTGGGAGAGCGTGTGCGCGCGTGCGAGGAGCAGTAGGTGGGAGAGCGTGTGCGCGCGTGCGAGGAGCAGTAGGTGGGAGAGCGTGTGCGCGCGTGCGAGGAGCAGTAGGTGGGAGAGCGTGTGCGCGCGTGCGAGGAGCAGTAGGTGGGAGAGCGTGTGCGCGCGTGCGAGGAGCAGTAGGTGGGAGAGCGTGTGCGCGCGTGCGAGGAGCAGTAGGTGGGAGAGCGTGTGCGCGCGTGCGAGGAGCAGTAGGTGGGAGAGCGTGTGCGCGCGTGCGAGGAGCAGTAGGTGGGAGAGCGTGTGCGCGCGTGCGAGGAGCAGTAGGTGGGAGAGCGTGTGCGCGCGTGCGAGGAGCAGTAGGTGGGAGAGCGTGTGCGCGCGTGCGAGGAGCAGTAGGTGGGAGAGCGTGTGCGCGCGTGCGAGGAGCAGTAGGTGGGAGAGCGTGTGCGCGCGTGCGAGGAGCAGTAGGTGGGAGAGCGTGTGCGCGCGTGCGAGGAGCAGTAGGTGGGAGAGCGTGTGCGCGCGTGCGAGGAGCAGTAGGTGGGAGAGCGTGTGCGCGCGTGCGAGGAGCAGTAGGTGGGAGAGCGTGTGCGCGCGTGCGAGGAGCAGTAGGTGGGAGAGCGTGTGCGCGCGTGCGAGGAGCAGTGGGTGGGAGAACGCGCTTCCCCTCGCTTTGCGTTGTAGGAAAAGGCCAGGTGGGAGCTGCTCTGTGGCAATGGAGGGAAAATAAGGGCCCATCCCCCGCCCTGCACACCTGCAGGACGCTGCCCTGCCCTGCCCCGCCAACGCTCGCTCTGTCCCAGGGCAGGTGCTCGCCTCCCCTGCACGCAGACCCTGCCCCTCCCGACGCGCCTGCCCAGCCCCGCTGGGGCCCAGACTCTTCCCCGCCCCAGAGCTTGGTGGGTTTTGCACAGAGCCCGTCCCTGGTCTCCTTGCAGCCGCTCCCCTGGAGCCTGGCCAGGACACAGACTGCAGCCCGGAGAGGCGCCCT